ACGAAAGCTTGATAGAGGAGGTTCGGAAGTACAACCACTTGTACGATGCCTCAGACATGTTGTTTTGGAAAATAAACACTCCCGCCGGCGCCGCCGAAGAAATTCTCTTAAGTTCTCGAATAGGCTCCCCCTAGCGCTGTGGCGGGAAACTGCTGTTCATCCCCAGAAACTCCAGACCCACGTTGCAGAAGCATACCAGCAAAACTGGTTCGCGACCAGACGCAAGCGAAATTTGATGTGTGCGGTTGGAGAGGTATAATCCGCCCTTTAGGGGGGACAAAAGGTGGCTTTGATCCCTCCCACTGGATTGGCCAAGGAGGTCACAATGGGGAATGTAAAAACAGAAAATGAATTAATCATTAGGAGAGTCTGGAGACTGGTACTGTTATGTTTTTTTGTTGATGTTTTTTTGCACCCTGACAAAGAAAGGTAGAAGAGTAATCTATCATGGCGAAATGCATTGTTTAGTCCAACGGTAAAACCTATAAAAGTCCATCTACAGACAGAAACAAATAAAGAGGAAGCTTTTGCCCTAATCTATGTGGCACAATGCGAATGCAGGTTTCACTTTTTCAGTGTTTAGCGCAGAGTGAAAACACAAGTGAAAGCTCTTAGAGACACATTTACAAGAAGCACTTATTCACTTTTATTTATTGGATTATTTCTGACACAGCTGCACAGTGGCAGAGGAGAAGGTGTTAAATAAAAAGAATAAAGTAAGACATAAAAGACCTGCTGCCACCTCCTGCAGCAAACACACAGACTTCAGTAAATCCAACTATCCTTTTAGAAGTCAAGTTTTTTTGCACAAAACAATCATTGTTTCTAATAGCTGCTAACTAAAATGAGCAGAGCTCTGTGGGTAAAGATAGCTTTAGGAAGGAATGCCACGCCTGTGGCTGATAATCGTCTGGGGTTAAAAGTTCAAGTTGCAAAGGAAGAAAGGTAGACATTGAAGATTGATTCATAAAACGCTTAACATGGGTTATTAGAACTTACTGAATTGGTATCTCTTTCAGTTATTCACAAGTCTTTTTGGTCATGAGTTTATTTTCCATTTTAAATAGACAATTTGAGGTTAACTAAACTCAATACAAGGAAAACTCCTATAAAGTGCTGTATCTCTTCTTTTGAAAACAACCAAATGGAAATAGCGGAAATAGGCTGATAACTGTTGATGTCAATTTTTGAATGAGGATGCTTCTTTTCTAAAAGTAGTTAGCTAATCCACCCTTTAATTCTCTTTGTCTGCTTATTCAGTGAATTGCTTGGCAAAAGCCGTGCACACAGAAAACCATACAAACGCAAACTCAGACCTAAAATGGCCAACTGACCTCATATATATGTTTTTGTAGGTCAGAGGAAGTCAGAACACCGGTGGAGGATCCTGGCATGCACAGGGACAACATGCAAACTCCATGCAGAAAGGCACCGGAACCTCTCAACATCTTTACTAAGATATATTGGATTTTATTGCATTCAGTGACTTTTCTTATTTTTTCCAAGTTGGACAATGTATGAGATTATTAATTATCTAAGTGCTAGGTCTATATTAAAACACTTGATTGATTGATTGATTGATTGATTGATTGATTGATTGATTGATTGATTGATTGATTGATTGATTGATTGATTGATTGATTGATTGATTGATTGATTGATCTCACAGTGGAGAAATTTACTTTTTATATCGACTCCATAGTCAAGAAGAAAAGGAAGGTGCCAAAAGGATAGATAGACGGATGGATGGATGGATGGATGGATGGATGGATGGATGGATGGATGGATGGATGGATGGATGGATGGATGGATGGATGGATGGATGGATGGATGGATGGATGGATGGATGGATGGATATAGAACAAATTAAATCTCCTATTTAACAGGATTATTATACAGTATACAATATACTACACCTAACCCTATTGCACAGGGTATTATGGAGCAAGACCCTTAACCCCACACTGCTCTCCGGGCGCTCACGCCCACAGATCAATAAAGTTTAATTATTTTATTATTATTAATAAATGGGTATTTATATAAATTGGTATTTATATATATAGTTATTGCACTGGTTATCTGATATAAAATATAAAACAGGTAATTGCACAGGGTATTAAATAGTAATTGCACATTAGATATTGCACAAATTATTGGAGTTATAATGTTGCATTGTAAAGTCTAATGGCAGCAGGGATGAATGACCTGTGCTAGCACTCCTTTTTACAAACAGGGTGTATAAGTCTTTCACTAAAGGAGCAGCTCAGCTGCTGGATAGCTTTTTACCTTCTGGCATTAGGAGAACAGAGCCAGCCTTATTTGTGTTATAATTAAATTTCAGATCAATTGATATGATATTATTTATAGCTGAAAATAAAAAATGAAAAGAATATTGTGTTTTATCAAAGGGAAACAATAAAGGCCCAAAATCAAAACATGTTATTAAAAGTAAAGGATAAAAAGTAGAAAATGACCAGATTGTTGTCATATTTAGACATTAAAACAATGGTGACGGTGCATAAAGAGAAAAACAAAAATTAATCGGATTCTTTGAGGTAATGTTCCTGTCATGTAATTCCACCATCTTGCAATGTGTGAGAACAGCAGTCCGACTTTCAGACTCAAAATTCAAATATGGGACATTTGTATTAAATCAAATACCCTGCCAGTGTGAAATCTTTGTTTTAGCTTCACTTCTTCAACAACACTGTCACCTTATGAACTGTTAAATTCATAACAGCAAATTCCAAACGGGCAGATCATAAGCATGAAAAACAAGCTTCAGAGTTCCTTGTAACTGATATTCAGACGTAGTTCAGAAATCAGCCGTTATCAGCATAACAGGGACAGTGCAGGCATCAGCGCACAGACATAGATGCCAGCACTCATCAGTTAGAATGAAAGCTAACACTCAATGTCCCATAATAACACAAGCCGATAGGGACAAATGTGCTGACAGTTTGAGAGGACACCATGCACTGTACAGCTAAATCAGCCTGATCTGAACTGTTCTTGTTATGTCCTTTATCAGTAACACACACAGGCAGACACTGACTAATTCAACACTACCTCTGGTGAGGAAGTCAAAGAGCTGGAAGATTCCCGCAGCATTTTTATAACAACAGCTGAATGTAATGCTGAAGAGGGATGAGAAAAAAACAACAACAAGTCTTCTTAGCAACTACTAAATGAAAGCTAAAATAAAGTTGTGTGTGTGTGATGGAAGACAAAAACCATTTTTTCTTACAAAAGTGGTTAAAAACTAGTTAAGACTTTAAATGTAGAGCTCATCCTTTTACATGCAGCTGCACACTACTGGTCAGCTGGCTTAAAGACAGCCATAACACTCTTCTTCCCTTTACCATAGAAAGAAAATTAGGTTGTTTGTTAATGATACCAGTTTCTAAAACCATTAGCAGTTAGGGGTGGAAGCTCAGGTCGTCACCCTTAAAGAGATAGTTTGTAAGTTTTACTGAAAAATTATCTTTGAAATAACCTTTTTAATTGACCCTTCACAACTAAAACATCATCACTGTCATCACAGTAGTTCAACGCTGATCACACATTTGTACGGAAGAGGATTAGGGCCACTGAAAAAATAAAAAAAGTTAACGGATTTTAAAATTTCATTTCAGTATAATGTGAGAAAAAAGTCAGAATTCTGACTTTAATCTCAGAATTCTGACTTTTTTCTCAGAATTCTAACTTTAATCTCAGAATTCTGACTGAATTCTGACAGCTAACAAACATGTTAGCATCAAGCCGTAGCCATGTCTTACCCATGTTTTAAGTTCTCTTGTTTTAATCACCTTCTTTTCCTCCATTAATGAAATAGCATCACCGGGGACCCCTCGGGCACATACAAAGTCCCCTAATTCCATCATTTTCCACCAATGTGTCACTGGCCCTCTCAAACAACTCACATCTTTGTCAGTGAAGCTGAAGCTCCCACATCTCTTCCTTCATAGTGCCCATCTACATTAAGATCCAAAATTATGTGATTAAAGTCAGAATTATTAGAAAAAAAGTCAGAATTCTGACTTTTTTTCTCAGAATTCTGAGATTAAAGTCATAATTCTGAGAAAAAAACGTCAGAATTATGAGAATAAAGTCAGAATTGTGAAAAAAGTAGTCAGAATTCCAACTTTTTTCAGATTAAACTAAAGTCAGATTAAAGATTAGATTAGATTAGATTCAACTTTATTGTCATTACACAGGTACAGGTACAAGGCAATGAAATGCAGTTTAGGTCTAACCAGAAGTGCAATAGCAGCAAGTGCAGGATAAATAATGGTTCCATAAGTACAGGACATGGGTTTCTACTGAATAAATATAGAGATGAATACCATAATAAACAGAATTTTACTAATAGATTTGTCCTATGAATATGATATATAGATAACTAGTGTTATAGAATAGAGTCAAAGTCAGAATTCTGACTTTAATCTTAGAATTCTGATTTTTTTCTCAGAATTCTGACTTTTTAAATCAATTAAAGTAAGAATCCTGACTTTTTTTTCTCAGAATTCTGGGATTAAAGTAAGAATTCTGAGGGGAAAAAAGTCAGAATTTGGACTTTAATCTTCTGAGAATTCTTTAATCTCGGAATTCTGAGATTAAAATCCGAATTCTGAGAATTCTACTTTCCCATATTAAACTGAAATAATATTTAAAAATCAGTTAACATTTTATTTTTTCTCAGTGGCCCTAATCCTCTTCCATACCTTTTGTTGCTGTAACACCACAATTTCCCCATTGTGGGGGAATATGTGGTTTTACTGTGGTGTTTCTATTCTATTCTATTCAAGAATCTAATGGGATCCTGGTTATAATCTGCTGCAGACTGAAATAATAACATGTATTTAAGACTTAGTACACACTTGAACTACTGTAGGTGTGACAGCAAACAGAAGCACAGCAGTTTGTGAGCAGCAGAGCTGTCATCTGTTTTCATCTGTTTGCTTTTTCAGTTCCATCCACAGCTGTCCAGCTTTACTCACATTTCAGAGCCTGGATCAGCGCCTTGCCGTCTTTAATCAGCTCCTTGATGAACTTGTTGGTTTTGTCCAGCTCCAGTTCATGGGACCGGAGCCTGTCCCTGAACTGAGGGCTGTCCAGGTAGCAGTCACTGAACTCCAGGGCGGGCAGTCCCATCTTCTTCTAAACCAAGAAAACCGGTCAAACAAAAACAAAAAGAAAAGAAAAAAGAGGAGTAGGATGTAGATGAGGAGGTGGGAGCTAATACTACTACTTCTACTGCCTCCGCAGTGATAGTAAATACAATTATATGAACACAATCCCAGAAAACTCTCCTCACATAAACCCTCTATGATCGGAATTTTACACAGGAGCAGATCTATACTTATTTCCCCATTAAATAAAATAATGGTAATAATAAAAAACGCGTCGCAGATATAGAAGCTTGGTCCGGTGCAAAGATATCCACAATAAAAGGTAAAATTGGTGATTATCTCCAGAGGGGTTGTAAAAAGGTTCCGAGGAGGGATGGAGGTAGAAGACAACAGCTAAACTTAGCTCCAGCTCCTGGACCCGGGGAGCGATATGTTCGCTGCTGGGCGGCTTTAAAACAAGCCCGTTCAGAATCCGCACATCCCCGCAGACTGCAACAACCCTACTACACAAGCGGATGATCCCCCCAGACTGACGTCCATATTGACCAATCAGACGCGGGGAATTAAGAGCGTCACTAATGGGGCGGGCGCACACGGGACGCCCAAGAGCTTAAAATAGGAGAAGGTGAAGAGGTCTCACTCTGGAGATATTTTTTTTTATCGGTATGATTTTTTATGTTTCTTCTGTACAGTTAGATTAGTTTAGATTAGATTAGATTAACTTTATTGTCCCAAAGGAAATTTGATTTGGGTACAGACTCTGGCTGCTACATAGTCCAAACTATGTGTCAAACTGCATTCACGCATAAAAACACTGCTATAGAAATTCCATTATTAGACAATAAATAATTAGGAATTACATTCACAATAAAAAAAATGTATAAGAACCCTTCATTAAAAAAAAACTGTTATATGAGATAATGAATACATAAGAAAAAAGCATGTCAGTTTAGTTTAAATTTTGAATACCATTGCATATTCCACAATTTATTTCTTGATACTGTTTATTTCCTTAATGAAAAGCGGAACAAATGACTTCTTATAGCGGTTCAATCTACAGGCAGGGACTCTAAGACGTCAACCTGAAGAAAGAAACTGATACTCTGAAGTTAATTTGGTTTATTTTAATTCATTTTATTTATATAGCGTCAATTCACAACATATGTCATCTCAAGGCACTTTACAGGTCACCAGATCATACAGTTAAATTGATTCAAAGTTTTCTATCTAAGGAAAACCAGGTGATTGCATCGACTGGGATGCAATCCCTCACAATAAGCATGCTTGTAGCGACAGTGGAGAGGAAAAACTCCCTTTTAACAGGAAGAAACCTCCAGCAGAACCAGGCTCAGTATAAGCGGCCATCTGCTGAGGTCTACTGGGGTTCAAGGAGACAAAAGCAGAGTTAGTTACACTAATAAAAGCGTAAATCTAATTTGCAGACTTCTTTACAAAATGTTTGAACTCACTGTATATGGAGGACCTCCATAACTACAAAAGTTGCTTTATAAATTATAGAATTGGACAGATGACAATTTGTATAATTACATATAATTTCCCACCTCCAGGCCAAACTAATGGTCAGTTTGACGATATTGTTTTATAATTATCATTCTTTGTTTTTCTTTTGCCTTATTTTTTTTCCTAATATTTATTCAGCTGAGACCAAAGCAAATCATGCTTCTATGGGAAAAAAGGCCTCTCCTGACACCATAAGACATAAATCAACTAATCAGTAAATAATGAAAATAATTGTTTAAATGTTGTTTATCAATTTCCTATTTAAAATTGTTACATTTTCAGTCATACATTATTTAAGCCATACTACAAAAATACTTTATTAAAGTAGTTTGTGTAAATGGTCAGGGCAGATGGAATGAGCAGATTTTATGGTCAGTGATTCTTGGTTTCTTTTCATCTGACTTATATGATTCATTAGGGTAGATTATAAATCCTAAAGATGCAGAACTGCTGCTTCCATCTGATGTACCATGTTATCTACTTATTAATTATTTCCCCAGTCTGAGTCAAACCAGTTAGTCATACCATCAACTGCTGTGCAGCCTAAAGATCCACCTTTTTTCTAGTCATCTTTATCCAATTTCTTTGTTTTACCTTTATTTCCTATGTCATATGCCTTATTGCGCTATTTTCCCTTTTTATTACTTCTGTTAAGATAATAACAAAGAAGCTGCATAAGAAATCTGTAGGTTCGGAGATTTGTTTGCTCTAAGATGTAATGATGTTTTTATAGCATGATAAGGGACATTCATAAGGGAAACAATTGAACACCACTCATTATTTGGACACAGAGTAAAAGTTCTCAGGACCTTTGTTAATATGCAATGTTTTCCTGCACAGCTAAATATATGGGTGTACTGAAAGACCAGGAGCGGTGTTCTCCTATCGCACTAGATGTTAGAAACAAGTGTCTTTCCTGCAAGTAGATGGAGAGGAAACCTGATTGTCTTGGATCCCTCAGTTTAACTCTGCCTACGATGTCAAAATCATCAAACATACTAACATCGTCACTGAAAGAGCTCTGCGACTCTCCCATGAAAAAAGCTGCAGCATAAGCATCATAAGGTGATCAGTAATATTTTATTCACATTTGATTATTTAACAATGCTGTTTCAAGTGTCAGTTTTTATTTATTTATATTATTTTTCATTGTTTAAGTTATTATTGCTTTTTTTTTGGTTTTACAATGCCAAGTCTCTTTACTTTTTTAGTCTAAACTGACTAAATAAAATGACAGCAAGCTTGTAAAATAGTTAAGGGGAAGGATGCATTAATATGTATTTCTGCTATTTGATCATATTCTCAAAAGATCCCCAAAAACTTGGAAAAAACAAGAAACATATAGCAAAAGGACAGTTTCTGATTGATTTCTGTCAGAGGATTATTTGATGCATAGACGATCTTTGAATTCAGCGAAACGGGTGCTCACTGTAACTTTTGGCAAAATGCTCTTACGACTTGCCACAGCAGAGTAGACACTGACGTCATTTCGAGGGAAGCAGGAAATTTCTGCTCGTGGCCTGAACGCTATTCTAGAGGCGTCACTTCTAACGCCCTCTATTGGCAGAACATGATACTGCAGTTTATATATAAAGAAAGATGGTGAGCATAAAACTGTCTTTTATATAGCCAGAGGTGGGTAGTAACTATTTACATTTATTTAATTAGTTACTTAAGTAACTTTTTTTTTAAGCTATACTTTTATGAGTAGTTTTACTACTGTTTTACCTCTTGTTACTTTAAGTTTCTACTTTTATTTAAGTAATATATTGACAAATTAGTGCTTCTCTTACTTGAATTGCTTGCTTTAAAAAACAGTGCTGCAAATAAAGACACACAATTAAGCTTTATGTAAAAAATGAAGGTTTTTTTTTTTTATTTTGTCTTTTTGTTTGTTTGCTTGTTTGTTTTTTGTACACAAGCCTACTTTTACCTACCATGTTGAGGTCAAGCTAATTTACACTAAAAAGTATTTTTTATTTTTCACTAAAGGTGCTGGTTTTTATATGTTCTACGTTAATAAATAAAATGGTTCAGAAAATAGTTTTTTGGCCAATAAATTAGTTTTTTTTTATTACTTTACATACTTAGTTTGTATTAATAAATATATTATAGTTTCTTTTTTTTGGAACTGTCTTTATTACATAGTTTAAATATATGATTTTTATTTTTTTTGTTTCTTAGTACTTGAGTAGACTTTTTACCACATACTTTTTGACTGACATAAGTAATTTCTTGGATGGCTACTTTTTAATGTTGTTTGAGTAGACATATGATCAAGTGATGTTACTCTTACTTGAGTAATTTTTTTGGGTACACTCCCAAACTCTGAAAAAAAAATAATAATAAAAAATAAATATATATATACAGGTGCTGGTCATAAAATTAGAATATCATGAAAAAGTAGATTGATTTCAGTAATTCCATTTAAAAAGTGAAACTTGTATATTATATTCATACATTACATACAAACTCATATATTTCAGATGTTTATTTTGTTTAATTTTGATGATTACAAATGACAACAAATGAAAATCTCAAATTCATCATATCAGAAAATTAGAATATTGTGAAAAGGTTCAAAATTGATGGCCCCTGGTGCCACACTCTAATCAGCTAATTAACTCAAACCACCTGCAAAAGCCTTTAAATGGTCTTTCAGTCTAGTTCTATAGGCTACACAATCATGGGGAAGACTGCTGACTTGACAATTGTCCAAAAGACGACCATCGACACCTTGCACAAGGAGGGCAAGACACAAAAGGTCATCGCTAAAGAGGCTGGCTGTTCACAGAGCTCAGTGTCCAAGCACATTAATAGAGAGGCGAAGGGAAGGAAAAGATGTGGTCGAAAAAAGTGTACAAGCAAGAGAGATAACCGCACCCTGGAGAGGATTGTGAAACAAAACCCATTCAAAAATGTGGGGGAGATTCACAAAGAGTGGACTGCAGCTGGAGTGAGTGCTTCAAGAACCACCACACACAGACGTATGAAAGACATGGGTTTCTGCTGTCGCATTCCTTGTGTCAAGCCACTCTTGAACCACAGACAGCGTCAGAAGCGTCTTGCCTGGGCTAAAGAGAAACAGGACTGGACTGCTGGTGAGTGGTCCAAAGTCATGTTCTCTGATGAAAGTAAATTTTGCATTTCCTTTGGAAATCAAGGTCCCAGAGTCTGGAGGAAAAGAAGAGAGGCACTTCATCCACGTTGCTTGAAGTCCAGTGTAAAGTTTCCACAGTCAGTGATGGTTTGGGGTGCCATGTCATCTGCTGGTGTTGGTCCATTGTGTTTTCTGAGGTCCAGGGTCAAAGCAGCCACATACCAGGAAGTTTTAGAGCACTTCATGCTTCCTGCAGCTGACCAACTTTTTGGAGATGCAGATTTCATTTTCCAACAGGACTTGGCACCTGCACACAGTGCCAAAGCTACCAGTACCTGGTTGAAGGACCATGGTATCCCTGTTCTTAATTGGTCAGCAAACTCTCCTGACCTTAACCCCAT